GTGTATAATAACTTTTAAATCTGATTTTACAAGTTACCATAGAAACCTCACCATTAATTTTGACAGTTTTCATAAGACAGTTCTAAGTCTCAAAGGAACCAAATGTATTTTTGGAACTTCAGTGGCTTATAAAGCAGGATTACTAGCAGTTGTTGTGTACATTGTGTTCTGTGTGTGTAAATGGCACCTCTGGATTTGTGCAGTGCACAGCCTAAACAAATGTACGCATGTCCCTGACTGTTGGTACTCTGTACATCTTTTAGTAGCAGCATGGGGTTGGCCACTTGGGGAAGTGTTTTGGGGACATGTGCGGTACACACAGTCATACTAAGGTTCACAGCAACATTTCAGAAAGGAAATACAGTAGTCCCCCTTTATCCTTGGTTTCACTTCCTGCAGTTTCGGTTACCCACGGTCAACTGTGGTCCAAAAACATTAAATAGAAAATTCCAGAAATAATTTATACGTTTTAAATTGTGTGCTGCTCTGAGTAGTGTGGTGAAATCTCGAGCTGTCCCTCTCCGTCCTGCCCCGGACGTGAATCATGCCTTTGTCAAGTGTATTCACGCTGTACATGCTATTTGCCCTTGGTCACTCAGTAGCCATCTCAGTTATCAGATCAACTGTGGTGGCATCACAGTGCTTGTGTTCAAGTCACCCTTATTTTACTTGATAACGGCTCCAAAGCACAAGAGCAGTGATGCTGACAATCCAGTATGCCAAAGAGAAGCCGTAAAGCACTTTCTTTAAGTGAGAAGGTGACCGTTCTCGACTTAATAAGGAAAGAAAAAAAATCATATGCTGAGGTAGCTAAGATCTACAGTAACTTTTATTACAGTGTATTAATCTATTTTACTATTAGTTATTGTTAATCTCTTACTGTGCCTACTTTATAAATTAAACTTTTTAATAGGTATGTTATAGGAAAAAATATAGTATATATGATGTTCGGTTCTATCTGTGGTTTCAGGCATCCACTGGGGGTCTTAGAACATATCTCCCCAGGATAAGGGGGGACTACTATAGTCATGAAACATATTGATTTAACTGATTAACTGAATTTTATGCCAAGCCCTTTACCTGCCCATTCACAAGGACCTCAGGGGCCTTCCTGGACTCATCAACTCTTTAACTCTCTCTCATGCTTTCAACTACAAAAAATAGACTTGCTACCCACAGAGAATATATCAAATAGTTGTATTCACCTGAATGCAAATATGAAACAAGTCCAATTCATATTCATTATAAATTGTTCTTAACACCACTATTACAAGGAAAAATAGTTAATATCTTTTGAAAGTAATTTTATGTTTAAATAGGGGTATGTATGTAAAGAAACCCTGGGGGTCTGCCTCCCCTTCTCCTTTTTTTAACATTTGGGGAGCCCAGAGGAGCCACTACTGCCTGTATGTCTCCACTGGGATGAAATTTTAGGCAGCATCCTCAGGCTTCCTAGAGTGCTGGTGAATTGCACTGACCGGAGCCCTCCCCTGAGCAATGTGCTGCTCCAAGGGCCTGGGTCACCAGTACCCACTCTGACCACTTTCCATACCCTCCAGGCAGCCAGCTGTCTTCCTTCACCGTAAACTGGAAGCAAGGAGGAGGAAATCACTTTTACTATATCCCCATCAGAGAGCTCTTGCTTCTTAAGGGGGCCTGTGAGCAGCAATGAGGAGCAGGGAAGTCTGACTGCACCATGTGAAATGCCTGGGTGGATTCTCAGTCTCAGCAAATAGGAAGGACGGTTTAGGATGTTCTCATCTGAAATGCAGGCTGTTTGGCACACAGCAAATTTATTTTGGAGGGTCCTGGGGCACCTCAAAGAGAGATGTAGTTGTTTTCCAGGAGCTGAAAGGAGCATAACTAGTGACTATGCAGACTTCTTTTAACACTGTGGACAGGGAAAGTAATTGTAAATGCAGTAAAAGTCACAAAGGTGGATGCTCCAAGCGCCAGCTAGGAATCGAGCTATTCCCCACCTGGGCAATTCCTGGGTGAGGGGGCAGCACTGATTTCTCTAGTTATGGTACATCAGCCAATGTCCTAGAGATACAGAGAAAGTCTCCTTTCTCTGCCCCTACCCTGCCTCCAGCTCCTGCTCTGGGGTCTCCCCTCTCCACCCTCATTCCCATCGGCTCCTCACCCTCTTGGACTCGGCATCGTCTAGTATAACACCCCACAGCTTCCTCTCCTGGGGCACTACTGTCCAGTCTGCAATCTGCCCAGCTGAGCACTGCAGAACCCCCAGGGGGCGCTATTCATAGTGCAGGCATAGGAGATGTGTACGTTACTTAAAGAGATATTTGTGGCACTTGAAAGCAAAGTGTCTTGAAAGATGGATGCCATTATCTAATTCATACTAAGGTACCTTATAGGCTAGCAATGGCCTTGATCCGACTAATCCATCATCCCTGGGTGACCTATTCATGGTCTAGGGCCCACTTTCGTCCATTTATCTGCATACTCCTAAACTCTGAATCCATCCAGCCTTCCCTAGTCCATAGTCCATAACATGCTTTATAGGATACATGCAAGAATTAGAGACCCCTCCTCCCATATAATATATGATCCCTGAATTGGATAATCTCAGTGTCAAATGGGGTCTTGTAGGGATCTTCCGTAACTGTATAAACCTAAATAATAGGAGTGAGTCTGTTTTCTCCTATACAATGAGCACTTCATTGTATAAATCAGGGGTCGGCAAACTCTGTTCTATAAAGGACCAGGCAGTAAACATTTTATATGCATTTTTGTGCTCTGTAGGCATGTAACCTCTGCTGCAACTACTCGGTTCTGCCTTGCAGTGCAAAAGCAGCTATCAGTGATACATAAATGAATCAGCACCACTGGGTTCCAATAAAACTTTATTTACAGACATGGAAATTTAAATTTCACATACTTTTCATGTGTGATGAAATCTTCTTCTTCTGATTCTTTTTCTGTTTTTTTTTGTGTGTGTGTGAGGAAGATCAGCCCTGAGCTAACATCCGTGCTAATCCTCCTCTTTTTGCTGAGGAAGACCGGCTCTGAGCTAACAT